CCCCCCGTGTTTTGTCTGCAGGGTTGTGTGTGAGTTTGCTAACGTTGGACTTGATGCAAGAGTTCGGTGACCGGTCGACCCCTCCTGCGAAAATGCATCAGCCCCCCCGCCCCGCGGTCCTGTCGGGTGTTGGTCGCCCCCGATGAGGTCCACTAGTCGGCTGTCTTCTTGCGGCCCTCGTGATGGTGCGCGTGCGGCGACTGGCCGATCGGGTGCTGACTTGGAGGAGCCTTGGCTGGTGCCGCGCGGCCGGCTTGCCGCCTCTGAGTAGGCATCTTGTACGAGAGGCGAGGTGAAGGATGCTGAGGGCGGGGGGTGGGGACTGGTGAAAGCGCCGGGGCCGACCGAGTCCAGTAGCGACTCGGTGGTCGGTGGGACGGCGCCGGGCTCCGATCGGCTGCCGTCCCCAGTGGTCTCGCTATAAGGATGAAGACCCATTAGCGGCGACGCATCGCGGGAATCAGACTTGACGCTCTTGGGGGGTGCCGTGATGGACAAGCCGCCGGTGGGGGCCCTGATCTCCGTCAGGGATGGCGAGTAAGTGGCGGCTGGCACCAGCTGCTCGGGGGTCGGACCACGCAGCCCAACCCCTCCACCGGTCTGATCCTCACGCTCCAAGCCGCGAGGCAACGCCTCCTGCACACAGACATAGACAGACAGACAGATGGAACACACACGATCATGACATGGTGTGCGTGCACGCGCGTGTGAAAGAGTATGGCTAGCTACAAGACGTATAGCTAGGCGTTAGTAGTGTGGTGTGTGCATATATATTGCTGTGTAGGTATATTTGCCAAGGTACATACATACATCCTTACTTACCTGTCCGATAGGTGAGGCCTGTATGGCAGCGACAGCGGTGAAAACGAGGTCCATGGAGCTGGCAGCGAGGGCAGCATTGGGGTCGGCGGGGACGTCTCGACCACCACCCTCATCTCTGCCAGCGGCACCATGGTGGGGGCCCTCGACCACCGCAACACCCACCACCTGCTGCGATGCGGGCTCTGGGGTGGCCCCGCTGACATAGCCATCCTCGGGGAGTACAGATAAAGCCACGCCGCTGGGAGGATACACTGCTGGCACCTGGTCCAGCAGCGTCTCGGCCGTCTGATGGATAGACACCCACCCGTACAGTACAGTACACACACAGTCAGGTCATTCATTCGTGTATGGTATGCGTAGGGACGTCACGTCCACAGACAGGACAGGACAGGCACTTCCGTACGGTGCGGTACGGTGCGGTACCTGTATGGTGTCGTGGGTGTGAGTGTTGATGAGTGGGATGTCGGGAATGGGTCCCATGATGCCGTGCTGGGGCTGCGGCAGGCTGCTCACATCCACCTCGCTTTCCTCACCCAACGGAGGAAGCGCCTGCTCACACACACGCATAGCATAGCATACAATAGACGGACAGAGAGAAAACAATGAATGAGTGTACTTAGGCTACGAAGGACTGACTGTACTGTGCGAACAGCGAGGAAAGGTGTGGTGTAAGTAAGGTAGGTACCCCCCCGGGTGGGTACATCAATCACGTGGGTATGCGTACCATCTGAGCGGCGGCTCGTCCGGCATGGATGGGGGCAGGGATCTCAACTTGCTGCACCACCAACCAACACACAACATACGGGGTGGATGCGATGCGGTCCGACGGCACGACTGTAGGGTGGGTGGTGTGTCCTACGCTTTCGTCGAGGAGATCGCACTCCCGATCGTCATCCAAATTCTGTGTCAGAAAGCTGCACACCCACACACACGGGCGCATAGATGTCAGTCATGTCGTGTGTCAGCAAAGATATATATAATACGTCATGACCACGCAACGTGTGTATGTCTAGCTGGCTGGCTTTGTCTGTGGTGTGTCTTCCTTTCTCTCTTCTGTGGGACTGTAGGTATGTGGATAAATGTGACCCTACTCGCTCTGCAGCAGCTGTTGCGCTGTAGGTCTCATGGAGGCCGGGATAGCTGATAGACGCCCACACACCAACACACGTAATGAATAGATATATGGATGGATGGATGGCAACCAGCCAGCCAGCCAGCCAGTCAGTCAGTTAATTTCCCTCTCACTCACTCACTGACCGATGCAGGATGCGATGAATTCCCGCAGGTCGTCCCACTTGACGCGGTAAAGAATGGATGGCTTCTGACCCTACACACCACGCAAACACACAAGACAACATACACACACACACACATACATACACAATCATGTGGGATACACACCCAGGCCGTCCGTGTGGTGTGAGTTGGGAGCACAGGGCGTTAGTACTTACTGAGATGACTTTGCGATAAATCTGTCCAGTTGTCTTGCACTCTTCATACGGGAAGCGCCTCGTCACCATCTCCAAAACACACATGCCTGCCGGCACACCCAACCATGTCACGTCACCATCGAATGCGTGTGCGTGAAAACGGGTGAGCGGCCGGCCTATCGTACCGAAGGCGTAGATGTCGACTGATGTCCCGTACTGCTCATCATACAGCTCAGGAGCCATGAACTCTGACGGTGAATAGACAGACAGACAGACAGACAAATACGGACGGACGGACGGGACGGGGTCAGACAGACACGAAGCGACGCGACGCGAATGTATGCGTGTATGTATGTATGAGTAACTAAACCCGGCCCTCTGACCCACTGACTGACCCACCTGGTGTGCCGACGATGCTTGCGGCGGTGGAGCGCTGGTAGGTCGAGAGGCCCAGGTCACCGATCAGAATCTCACCTACGTTGCCGTTGATGAAAATGTTGTCGCACTACCCAACCAGCGGCACCCAGCCAGACAGACATTGCAATCATTGGTTTGGTGGGTGGGTGGATGGGATGGACACGACACATGGATGGGATGGGTGAGGTCGACTCGACCTCACGTCTGTCTGTCTACTTACTGTGTATCGAATCGACGTGTTGGAATGTGTGTGTACCTTCAGATCGCGATGGATTATAGGGCTGGGTGCCATGGCATGTAGGTAGGCCAGGCCCTCGAGGATCTGGTGGCTCCAGTCCTTGACAACCTTCACCTTCAAGTTGCAATCCACACGGTTAATGTACCTGACACGAGACAGTCAGCCACACAGCACGCAAGTCAGCCACCCACTCACTCACTTGGCTCGCTGCCTTGACTCTCCTCCCTCCCTCTGTCTGTCTGTCTGTCTGTCTGCGTGAGTGTGTGTTGGATGAATGGATGGGGTGGTCGCTTCCCTTACTGTCTGAGGCTGCCGCCGGTGACTCGTTCAGTGATAAAGACGACCTCTTTTTGGTTGCGGTTTTGCCAGGCGTTGACGAAGCTGATGATTTTCTTGTGCTTGAGTGCCTTGGCGATGTTGATCTCCTCACAGATGCGGCGGCGAGCCTGGGCGTCCAGGTGAACCGTCGATATCACGTTCCACGCCACCTCTCGACCAGTCTCGCTGTCGAAACCCAAATACACCATCTTGTACGCACCGGAACCCAAACGCTTGTTGAACTGAGTGACCAAACCCATCAAGACGACACGCACAGCACAGCACACATGGGGGAGGGAGGGATGCGACCACATCATCCAACTCACACACAGACGTGACGTGACGTGTCCGGGAATCTCTCTCTCTGTCTCTCTGTCTGTCTGTGTCGATGGATACGCCTTACGTTACCGACTGACTAATTCACATGTCTGTCTGATGGACTGACTGAACGACCTACCCGCAAGAACCTGAAAAGAACACACGGGAGCACGAAAAACAGCCAGCCGCGTGCTAACGGGTTGAATTGAATTGACAGCGTGTGAGGGAGCGAGTGGGTGGGGGGCGTACCGGCCGCGGGGCGATTTCTCGATAACCTTGTCCGCCTCTGTGCCGACACACATACACAGACAGACAGACAGACAGACGTGCAGAGAGAGGTATTATCCTGTGATTGCTTGGTGTATGAGTGTGTGTAGCAGTGATATCAGACAGGCAGACAGGCCGGCTGACCTTCCCTCCCTCCCTCGCTGCCTGCCTGCCTCCCTCAGTAGATCCGTGCGTGCGTGCGTACCATCGGGTTCGTCGTCGTGTGTGTCTGCGATGCTCTCTCCCTCCTCATTATCCAAGCGCTTTTCCGCCTGTGGGGGAGAGACTTGGCTGACTTGACTGGCAGCAGCGGCACCTACAGCTGGCGGGGACGGCTGGCTGCCTGCCGACCCGCCCACCGACGCGGGGGAAGGGCCACCCGGGCCACTCATACCTGCCGACCGATGACTGACTGGCTGACGCTAGCTACAATGGAAGCAAGCAAAACAACAAACACCTGACTGACCTGAATGAAAAACCAACAACACAACACACACTTCACACGAGCCATGGCACGGACCAGCAGCCCAACCGACTGCCCGCCCGCATCCAAGCACGCCTCTGGCTGGTGATGCGTGTCACGTGTGTCGAGTTGTGAGAGATTCTGACCTGTTGGAAGCCGTTCAGGGCTCCAAGATCAACACCATATCAATTGCGGGATGTGCATTCCACCAACAGTAACGACACGATGCGCGTTGATCTGATCAACTGCGTGCTCTCGACCAGACAAGCCCTCTGCCAACGAAAAACTATCCCAAGGAAGGGAAGGAAACAGACTGCGAGCTAAGCTTGGAAGGCGAGCTTTTGAAGCTGCCAGCCGAAAACGGCGTGGATCCCCGACGCGAGGGGACGCAGAGGTACCTCCACACTGAATTATAGTATATATATGTCTGGCGATTCGTGGTTGTGCGGTGTCGTTCAGAGACTGCAGAGAGAGAGGCTGGTTATCTATCTGCCTGTCCCTATTGAATCGCGAGGGCGGACATCACAACCACGATGTCCAACTTCAACTTCAATCCCAATGCGGCATCATTCACACCCGGTAGGCAGGCAGGCACACTTGCTACGTCAGTCTTGAGTTCGTCGCATGTCGCACAGGCAGACAGATAGACGAGGCAGGCAGGGCAGGCAGGCAGCACCGTTGGCCGTGGCGGCTGCCACTCAATCGTCCGATCATTCTGGCACCTCGGCTCATTCCATTTGCGGTGTGACTCATGGCTGGTTGTGTGACACAAACAGGTGGTTTTGCCGCCCCTGGTGGTCAGCAGCAGGGTTACAGCCAGCAGGGTTATGGGCGGCCGATGCCTCCCCCTCCCCCGCCCGCACCGGGGGGACAGCACAACCACCACTACAACATCAACATGATGCAGCAGCAACAGCAGGTACGGATGGACGCACGCACGCACCTGGGGTGCATACAAATCGAATCGCAGACGGGCGGTGCCGTCACACATCATACGCACACACACAAATCTTGGTTCTGCCTGCCTGCCTGCCTGCCTGCCTGTGCTGCACACGAACGTATGTCCTTACTTACTGCTGTGTGTAGATGGGCCTCCCGTCGCAGCAGCAGGTCCACAACCAACCTCCTGGCGGTAGGTCATTCATGCAGGCCAGACACACACCTGTCTGTCCATCAGTCAGTCAGTCAGTCAGACCATGCTTGTCTTGCATGTGGCCGGCCTGCCTGCCTGCCTGCCTATGGGCTGGCTGGTTGAGTGCACTGTTTGTTTGTTGCTTGGCTTGTCGTACCATTGGTTGATTTGTGTCAATATATAAATAGGGTACGGTATGTATGGTGGACCCCGCAACGGTCATGTTGGCGGTGAGAGGGTCGCATCGGGGTCTTACCCGACCCCCCCAGGCGCCCCCCCTCCCCCTCCGCCCTCGTCCGTCCCCCCGTCGGCTGCCCAGCATACCCCATCCACACACGCACACCCCGCAGACGTCAGTGAGTCATGGGAGGAGGACGAGGCAGATGCCAATGCCAATGCCACCCCACAGCCGCCAGCCCCCGTCGAGCAACCCCCCGCTCCCCTATCGTCGGGGTCTAAGGTGGGTGGTGCGGCTGAGGAGTCTGCTGCCGAGGCCACCACTGAGGCCGACCCGTCATCTGCGGCGGGGATCGATGGGGTGGGGGTGCACCAACCACCAGGTGCGGCGGTGTGTGGGTCGACCGACGGTAGTGCACCAGTGGGCGATGGACCAGTCGCCAGGGATGAGGGTGTGGATCAGGAGGGTGAGGATGACGAGGCCGACGAGGAAAACGATGAGGACGAGGGCGGCGAGGCATCGACCGCTGAGGGCAAGAAGATCCGACAGGCAGATGACAGGCCTCACCTCAACATCGTATTCATCGGACACGTCGGTAAGCAAGCGAGGATTCACTCACTCACCTAAACGTACACCCAGTCGGCTTTACTAGTATGTATCTCATACGTGTCGATGTGGCTGCCTGGCTGCACGACGCCCATCAGACGCTGGCAAGTCCACAACATGCGGCAACATCTTGTAAGCAAGGCAAGCACCCATACTCACTCATAGCAAACAATCAGCATCAAACTCACTCATAGTCAACAATCAGCATCAATCAATAAATGTCTGTCTGTCTGTGTGTCTCTGTTCCCCCGTGTGTATGTGTGTAGGTATCTGTCGGGCCAGGTGGACCAGCGTACCATCGAAAAGTACGAGAAGGAGGCCAAAGGTAGGTAGGACACCGGGCCAGGCGATCGATCACCCACCCACCAAGCAATCAATGAGTCAGTCATTGGTGGACGGAATGAGGGCATGTGTGGTGTGGTGTGGTGTGGTGTGTGCAGACAAGAACCGCGAGAGTTGGTTCCTCGCCTTTATCATGGACATCAACGAGGAGGAAAGGGCCAAGGTGCGCCGTACGTCAGTCAGTCAGTCAGTCAACGGGCGGGAAAATGGTCAGGCGGGCAGGTGGGTATGCATTGTATTGTCGAATGTGTGCAGGGGAAGACTGTGGAGGTCGGCAGGGCCAAGTTCGAAACAGACAACCGAAGATTCACCATACTGGTCAGCGAGTGAATCACTCTCATTCACCACAGGAAGGAACAAGGACATACACGACATGACGTGGTATGTATGTGTGAACGAGCTTGTGTGTGTGGCGTCAGGACGCTCCCGGTCACAAGAGCTTTGTTCCGAATATGATTGCTGGCGCCGCACAAGCTGACGTCGGAGTGCTCATCATCTCCGGTGAGCGCTGCCCGCCCCGCCTGTACCTAGACAAACACAGACATACACACGCCCCCTCGGTGTCTGAAGCGATCTCTCTGTCTTGCCGCGTGTGGGTCAGCGCGCAGGGGCGAGTTTGAGACGGGCTTCGAGCGCGGCGGACAGACGCGGGAGCACGCCATGCTGGCCAAGACACTAGGTACGCACACACATTTGCAGGAGGGAGTGAGTGTACTCTGAGCAGCGACGAATGTGCACACGGATGGACGGACGTGTCTGACTCTTCCCTCCCTCCCGTCTTCTGCTGTCTGTCTGTCTGTCTGTGTGTGTGTGACGGGCAGGTGTGACCCAGTTGATTGTGGCCATCAACAAGATGGACGACCCAACGTGCGATTGGGATGAGAACAGGTAGGCACACAACAGAAATCGGTTGCCTGCTTGAGACATAAGGATGGGCTGTGGCTCGCCCGCATTGCGCAGGTACACTGACATCGAGAAGAAGCTGACTCCGTACTTGCGTCAGTTCTTCAACCCCGCCAAGGACATCTTCTTCATCCCCATATCGGGACTCACCGGATCCAACCTCAAGGTCGGCACAGCACAAGACAGACAGCACACAACATCACAACACACATGCATGGCATGGCATGGAGGGGGCCTGGCCTGGCCTGCCTTGGGTGGGGTGGGGTGGGCATCGATCGATCGATGTTATCTATGCTGCAGCATCACGTCAGTGACGCCTCAAACCCGAAGAGCTACCATGCGAAAGGCAGCTGGTACGGAAGGGACAAGGTACGTACGTCAATCATGTCAGTCAATCTAGGCCAACGTACACACATAAACACGTCCACGGTATGCTTACATGGACTAACTGGCGTATCTGTTGCTGGCCTGGCTGGTGGTCACTACAGCCGACGTTGTGGGAGTTGTTTGATGGTTTGGTCCCGCCCGACCGTCGTGTGGATGACCCCCTGAGGATCCCACTGCTGTCGGGCTACAAGGACCAGGGCGTCATGGCCATGGGCAAGGTCGAAGCAGGAGTCGTCAAGGCCAATGCACACGTAAGTACAGACAGTCCGACTGATCAGGAATCACGGGAGGGCCTAATATCTTTGTTTGTTCAGTGTTTGCTGATGCCCAACAAGAACCGAGTCAAGATTTTGAGTGTGTTTGTCGATGAAGACGAGGTAGACATCGCCAGACCTGGAGAAAACGTGGCGGTAGGACGGACCACCCACCACCCAGCCAGCCGGCCAGCCAGCCGAAGCACCTCTCCACCCTTGTCCATCGCCATCTTGTGTGTGTGTGCGTGTGTGCGCAGCTGAAGGTGTCAGGTGTTGAGGAGGACCAGATCTGCAAGGGCTACGTGCTGTGTACCGCCAAGCACCCCTGCCCTGTCATATCCACATTCAAAGCCACGGTAGGTACAGACAGACAGACAGGGCTAGCTTCCTCTTACTTACCATTGGTTGCTTGGCTTGGTCCTTCCCGACTTATCCCCTCCTCTGCAGGTGAATATTGTGGAGCTGCCGGAGCACCCACCCATAATCACCGCAGGATACTCTTGTGGTACACACTCACACGGGGAGTGCTGGAACTCCGCAGCGCAGCAGTGAGGAAAACCATTGTCTGTGTGTACATCGCATCGATCAATCTTCAGTATTCCATGCCCACACGGCCTGTGAGGAGGTCCAGATTCTACAGCTGCTCGGTGAGGGATGGGGAGGGAATGACCGCAAAGAAGGACATACACACTGGGTGGGCGGGATGGACGGGCACGTGATTGGGGTCATGTTGACCAGAGTCGACGGATCGCGCCACCAAGAAGAAGAAGACCAACCCGCAGTTCATCAAGAGCAGCTGCATGGTCAAATGCAGAATGCAGGTGGGTGGCTACCCTCCCCCCCCCCACACACACACACACCTGCACCAACACCGAGACAGCTGGCCAGGCAGATGGATGGATGCGTTTGCGTGTTATTGCTTGTTGTGTGGGGCGGGGCAGCTTGTGTCTCCTATGTGTTTGGAGCCCTACGCGATCCGACCTCAGCTCGGAAGATTCACACTGCGGGATGGAGGTAAGAAATGAATCAATGAAAAGCACTCGTGGTTTCGATGCACACCGCCAGCACATCTCATCTGCTGTCCGTCGGTCTGTGTGTGGTGCCTTGTAGCTAAGACAATCGCCGTCGGCAAGGTCGACGAAATCGAGGTGAGGGAGCTACCACCAGCAAGCGCACACACTCACTGCAGGGAATGACTGAGAGTGAACGTGTGGGTGGGTGCACTGCACTGCAGGAGGCGGACTAGTCATTTGGCCCGTGCAGGACTATCAATTCCGTGACTGACGTCATCGACGTGTCTATGTGCACATCTGGCTTGGCTGAGTGGACGGACCCGACGCGCGTGTGAGGCGAGGCGTGTGACTTTTGTGCCATGGGGGTCTGTGCCGTGTGAATGAGTCCATCTGTCCGCCTTTCTGTGTGTCCGTGTCCGTGTACCTGAATGAGTGAATTTATGGATGGATGGATGGTCGTTTTAATTGAATTGATGGGGTCTGTCTGTGGCCTATCAAAGGCGGGACGGGCGAGGGGCGCGGGGGGAGGGGCAGTAGAGGTCTGCTTCTGACTGACTGCATGGAAGGCTGGCTGCCTTGACTTCGTGCGAGCGACATGGTGAACTGGAATCCCTCAGCCTTTCAAAGATACTGCAGCCCATAGTTCCCCCGCCATTTACCCGATCATTTATTGGGTGGCACATTCACCGCAGTGCAGCGCAGCTAACATGGAAGCGGAAAAAGCCAATCCACTTTACGATTCTGGTGCCTCGGACTCAATGGATGCAACCTGATGGAACCGAAACACACACCCACCATATATAGAGAACAAAGTTTGGTGTGTTAAAGACTGCTCCAGAGACCGAGTGGCGCTGCGCTCATTCTGCTTGCTGCGAGATAAATACAGCCAGACGAAGTCGTGCAGTCCTCACTTGTCACATTCCCTTGTTGCTGGGCTGGCGTGTTTGACCCAGCCAGCACAACTCGTGCCTACCTGTTGTTCGCCCGCGTCTTCGATTTGCAGTCCGAGTTTCTTCATGTAGACGGCATAGTTGTCCATGTTGCGTCTGCACACACACACACACACACACACACACCAAATGCACACGGCAGGCAGTGCAGTGCCGGGGCGGTCCCGCCACGCCATCGGTAAGCATGCCTGCACGCGTGTATGCATGTGTACGTGCCTGAGTATTTCCTCGAGGGGCCCGAGGAGTCTCTCGAAGGCCTCCTCTTCCAACACGTATACCTTGACGTCCGTCACGGCATCCACAGACACGGCACGAGGCTTCTTGCGCAGAAGCGCCAACTCGCCAAAGAAATCCCCACCCTACCAAAAGACACAGGGAGACACACAT